GAGTATATGGTTGATAGAGTTTGTTCTGGGTCATTACAGACATTCTCACCTCTGTTAATAACAGAAAATCAAACATTGTTTTCAAAACTGATCCAGTTTCAGTGCTTTGATATTATTGTATTTCTTTCTAATGTTAGGAAATTCAAAAGTTTTTGTTGCTCTTAAACTTGCACTAAACGTGATTATACCATCTAAGCACCCTATGTAATTTTAATAGAACCGCTTGTCTTCTTTGGTGATAAAAGCTCAGAAACATTTATAACCTGTTGACGTTTTTATATTGTGCATTGACTTGGTGCCATGATGAATATTGAAATGTTGTTATTTATTTTTCATTTTAAACTGTATAAACTGTGTCCAAACTCGGTCCTGGAGGGCCGGTGTCCAGAAGAGTTTAGCTCCAACCCCAATTAAACGCACCTGAACCAGCTAATCAAGCTCTTACTAGGCATACTAGAAACTTAAAGGCAGGTGTGTTGAGGCAAGTTGGAGCTAAACTCTGCAGGACAAGTTTTTAATTTTTCTTTCTTTCTTTTGAAGGAGAGCCCTTCACACAGGAAGAGATGGATGAAATGCTGTCTGCAGCTGTTGATCTTGATAAAAATGTCATTCTCTACAAGGACTTTGTGAGCATGATGACTTTTGATGACGGCTGACGGCATGATTAGATCGAACAAATAAATATTTTTATAGCATTAGGATCAAGGTATCATAAACAAAATCATCTCAGTTACCATTATAAATAATATACTGTACATTTTATTTTGACTCTTTAACCATGGTATATATCATTAATGGTGTTCATAATGCCCTAATACTCTTTGCTTAGTAAGTAGTTTGGCAAAATTACACAGTATGATATTTTACCCTATTCATAAAAATTCAAATAGCCTTTAAAGTGGAGAATGTGTGCAAGACTGAGAGGGTGTATCATAGACTGATTAATCATTCTCACTATTAATGAGGCAGGTTTTCTAAGGCCAGGTGTGTGTCTGAGAGCCTCATTATAAAGTCAGTGTGTGGTGACTTTCTTCTGTCAGTTTCATTAGCAGACTCTGATACCACAGGTTTTGTGAAGGGGTGGTATATTCTTGCAGCTCCTTTTTTCCTAATTAACCTGTGCCCCATGAGTGCGTTTGTGTGGGGGAGAGACCGGGAACAGAATTGCCCCCCTGTGAACTGACCAGAGAAGCTCATTACTTAGGATGGCCTTTACAGAATGCAATCATAAAAGTTGCATACTGGTGGCATGGCAAATTATGATCTAACATTTCATGAAATTATATGCTTTTAAAAAATGAACTTATCAGAAAAACACAAATTTTACATTCTAGTTGAAAATTAGTTTTATGAGTTTACTTTATCTACATACCTTACACAACAACGATATGCATTACTCTTATAGAATAGTGTAAAAATTAAATATACTGTATTTTACTGTAAGCTGAGAAACCCCAAATAGTGCATTAAGTATTGCGTACAATATTGTAAAGACTGGAAAAGGCTACAATAACCATCTCAGCCTTTCCTGTTTGTATAAGCTTTTTTTATGTATCATAAAGTGACGATTCAGTGGTCCAAAAAGGATAGACTGACTACTATTCTGAGCAATACTGAGTTTTTAGGTTTATGACAGTTTCCTATTTGTTTATTGCTATGGTTATATATACAGTATGTCTGTGTAGCTTGTCTTAAATATGACTGATAAAGCAGTACTGTTTCATTTTAATAAAAACTGATGGTCGTTTGCTTATTTCTTACTGTTAGAGTCTCTCATGTGAAGCATGATGGGGTGTTTATTTTAGATTTGTGAGCAATAGGTGGCGCTGCTTACCCATGCTTATAAAATGTCCCTTCAAATTCCTGCTGAACTAACAATACAACCAAAACAACACTAGCTATTTATTTTCATTCCAATTCAAAACAACATTTGGTCAGTTAAGAAATATTGCCACGCAAACGTTTCTTGTTGGTTTCATAATTAGTATATACTTCAGTGGTTTAAATGACATGTTTGCAGACATGTTTGTAAGCAATTGAAGATTTTGGAGCATTTGACATTTGAGCATTTCACCTGGCACACTTTATAATATTTGAATAAAAGAAAATAATATTATACCATTTTAAATGTTTTATTGTTCTTTTATTTTTTATATTGTTATTATTATGTATTGCTATTGTTATTATTATGCTCCAAAACAGTTTCATGTAATTTATTGTATTGATTTAATTAGCGTTTTAACTGTAAAACTCTCGAACCACCGTTGCAGGGTGCGAATTATAGGGTGTGGTGGTCGAACTTTTTTCAGCAACCACATAAATTAGATTAATGTTGTCGTTATTATTTATTATATATTTGCACATATAAATAAAAATATATACGTACATAAATATATAGTTGATATTTAGTTCAATGCCATCTTTGTTGCGTGAGACGAACTTCTAACAGAACAACACTGATAGAATTTCCGAAAGTCATTCGATAATAATATCGAAATTGACTCTTAATAATGAAAACTTGCGCTCGTGTGGACAACTGTACACTCCCACATGTCAGTCAGTAGATCTCGGACATGCTATTCGCTGAGAGGCGCGGAAAAGGCGTGGCCAGTCTACCCAGAGACAGATGTGTGCGCTCCTCTGGAGTGAGAGCAGCGCAGAGATCAGTTCTCCAACAGCCTGATCTGCTGTCAGCCTGCGCTTCACACAAGTCCATATGCATGGGAAAATGCGCCTGTGCTGGGATGCTGTGAAATCTAAAGCACTGCACATGGATTCAGTTTATCAGAGAGCATAAGAAAGAACGGGATAATCCACTGCTGGACATTTCAGATTGGACCATCTGTTATACATATTCCACTGAGGAAGATGGATAGATTTCTGCATGGTACTAGTCGCTGAGACTGGACTTCAGAAGGGCTACTGAACTGACCAGAGATTAATTTTTGGATCTTTTGGTTGTGGATGTAACAGGGAGCACAGTTATTTCAACAGTCCCTCTGTATCAGGCTTTATCATGACCTCTCTAACAGGGAATAAAGAAAGATCTGGGACCAGGAGTAGAAAATATGGGGTAAGATTTATTACATGTATATTTATTATAGCTATTTTATGTAAAGGTATGCGCATATTCAGGGCAAGTGAGGAAAAACAACAATCTATTTCAATGTCAAACTCAGTATGCAAATTAATAAACCACTTTGCATACTTTTTCACATTTACCATATCTGTAACCCAGACATTAATGTTTCAATCACTGCTTTTCATCCTCAACTATCATTTCTTGCAGATGACCGATTCATCCCCTACGAAGTCAGCATCATTCTCTCCTGAAACCTGGTACCGAAAGGCTTATGAGGAGTCCCGGAGCGCAAGTCGCCCGGTCCCTGAAGGCGCGGGCTCCATGCCTGGGTCCTCTGGAACCCCTTCCCCCGGATCAGGAATATCATCCCCGGGCTCTTTCTCCGGCTCACCTGTTACGATATCTCCTGGAATCAGCACCGGTTCGCCTGGATCCTTAGGCGGATCTCCAGGGTTCGGCACTGGTTCTCCAGCCTCGGGTAGCGGGAGCTCACCTGGTTCTGATCGGGGCATCTGGTGCGAGAACTGCAACGCTCGGCTGGTGGAGCTGAAGAGGCAGGCATTAAAACTACTCATTCCCGGACCCTACTCTAGCAAGGTAGGCTGATAGATACTAAGTCGCATAAGCATATTCTGAAATCAGTTTTTGACATGGTAATGCGTCATGCAGATATTGTACAAATGACATCGGATATCCATGCTGAAGTGTGATATATGAACTCCAGTGTTGCAGTGCGTAATTTTGGACAAGAAATGCACAACGTGAAGATTTCAAACTAGAATTAAATAAAAATTTGTCGTGCACTGCTATTTATCGATTAATTCCCTTCTATCATAGTATGGTTGTTCTCACTTCTCGCTAGCAAAGCATATCGCAACTTACAAAATAAAGAATAAAATAGATAGAGAGAAAGAAAAAAATAGCAATTTTGCATTAAACTGTTTGAAAACACACAGAAGTGTTGCACGAGGGGCGGAGTAGCACTGCAGCGTGTTGCAGATCCACTATCGCTATTATTCCAGCGCGCTTCCAGGAGTCTGAGATCATGATCAAACTGGCCAAAGGGGGCGAAATTAATTGCTGACTAACAGCTTTTTCCTTTGGTTTAAGAAGAGTGTAAAGTGAAACAGATTGTGTAAAGAAACACGTCATACCATGATGGCGAGCATGATGAGCGCTCAGAGAAGCGCATTTATGATTAATTATCCCTTATGATTAGTTTTTCGGTTTTGGCTTGGAGCACCTGGTAGTAGGCTACTGCACCAGAACTTGGTGTGGATTCCACAAGAGCTCAAATCATAAGCACAAAGTATATATATAGGTAAATATGCAGTGCGTAATTGGATGCATGTGTGCGTAAATATCAAGTTTCGCCGTGTGCTCATTTCATTTTCAGCGTCTAATACCGGGGGCTGTGCATAAGCAGACAAAGCAGTATGATTTACACATAGAACGAAATGGTTTATACGGATAAACCCTACCTTTTTATATTATTGATCAATGGTTTTGTTTGCGCCCCATGGAAACCAAAGCAAAGTTTGTCTAATTCAATAAATATCCATTAAGAAGAACAGGGGGCGCTGTGCTTTCACAAACAATGTGATATGGAGCTTCAGTATCAGTACATTATTTGATACCATGCTATCATTTCTTTGTATTGCTATATATATATATAACTATATAGCTTGTCTGTTTGTGTTAAGATGTTACGAACTATAACGTGATCACCGTTGCAATGCTTTCAATTAAAGGAACACAAACATATGGCATCTATTATGTTCTTCATTTCAATAATTGCACCGTTTATCCTTTAAAAAAATAAATCAAAAAATGGCCCTCAGTTGTCCAAAACATCACATCTGCATTTAGATCTCCTTATCAGGAGCTGTGTCTAAGTTGATATCTTAAACCTCTCTGTGTGTATTAATATAATTATTATTACTAAAAGTTGCATTTTGCTGTTTTTAAAGAGCACCATTGATCTGGTGTGGCCGTGGCTCGTGTTTCAGACCTGCTGTTGGTCTCCAGATTTTATGGCCAGTTCTGCCAGCTGCAAGTGACCTGGAGGTGCCCATTAAAATGAGCTGGAGGAGGAGGGGCTGATGGGAAGGAGAGGGGATCACTGGAGAGCAGGGTGGCCATGAGAGCGCTCTTTAAGCCGGAGGCAATTTCAAAGGAGACGTTGCTGAGTGTTTGGGCTTTTCTCTGCAGGATCTTCACCCACATGGTGATTAGTGAGCAGTGTTGTGACATGAACTGAAGTGTAAAACCTCATTCTGATATACGATCCATCTGGAGATCTTGCAGTATGCTGCTTTCCATTGGAGTCTGAAAGTAAAATGTTCTAATTTCCTTAAAAAAAAGTGCGATAGAGTAGAGAGAAGTGATGAACATTGACTATAAAACTCAGAGTTCCTACATTGTTTGATGCTAAAAACTGTATAGAAAACATTTGCAGAGTCAAGTGTTTAAAACATGGTAAATGGTGCTCTTTTGGTGATCTTATACATGCAGAATAAATGTTAGCATTACTCTTAAAAATAAATGTTCTTTATTTACATCCATGGTTCCATGAAGAACCTTTAACATCCATGGAACCTTTCCATTGCACAAAAAATACAGTGATACCATAGAACAACCATTTTGGGCTCCCCAAAGAACCTTCAACCATAGATGCCAATAAAGAACCTTTATTTTTAAGAGGGAAGGTTCTTTATTATGGAAAAAGATCCTTCAGATTATTAAAAACTTCTTTCCCTTAAAAATGGTTATTTTAAGAACGGCTCACTGAAAGGTTCTTTTGGAATCCAAAATGATTCTTCTATTGCCATTTGAAGTAGAAATATCCCACATCCAACTGTAAATGGAATGCAGAATACCAGAACAGTAGCTCACCGAACTTGTGCTGTGGGAATTGCTGCATTGTGAACGTCCCCTGGGGTTCGTCTTTAGATTACACCCGCTGAACAGAAGCATGTTCATTTCCATTCCCATGCACACACAGGTCCCATTTCCAACAGAGCACTGTTGCCACGACAGCAACACGTTATGGGCGTGAGCTTCATACATATTTCACGTTTAACGCTCTTTCTATCCCTCTCAGGTGAGCAAGGTATTATCATATAAAGAGGTCACTTTTTCACTACGGACTGATAGGAATAAACGGGAATGGGTTGCTGACGTCAGCTCAATTCAGCCGGCGTGCTACTGTAAATGGCACTCCCTCCTGTCCAGCGGCAGGCTTTGTATCGACGCCAGGGTGTAATGGTGTCACTAAGGCAGATATAAATACAGCTCAGCGATGGGACAACTGAATATGCATGTCTCTGTAGGATTTGGTGTGCTCGTTTGGGGAGCACCGATGTTGGAAATGACTGTGAATAGTATATTGCGGCTTTAAAGACTGTGACCTGATAGCTGCTTACAGCAAAGAGGATTGTTGACAGTCGATGTAAGTCAGAGCTGTTTATAGGTTGAAACTATTTTGATTCACAACGACATGGTCCAGTGCTTTATGAACCATTAATTTCTGGTTTTTACAGCTGAAGGTCTAACAGCAAGTAATGGTTAGTGTTAAATACCTGCTCTTTTCATTGGTATGAAATGTTGATAGGTTATATTTTTATGCAGAGGCAGAGGTTTGCTGCTGTATTACAGCTTGAAACTTTTGCGGGGCTTTGAATAAACTGGGTTTTGCTTCTTTTGAACAAGTTTCCCAGCAGGCCACCAATGTTATAATATGTTGATATTTGGTTA